CTGCTTTTACTGTCTGTACGAAAACCTTCAGACTGGTGATTAACTCAGTAAACTCTGCCTCTAGCCCAAGGACCTGTGAAAAAAGGGTCTTTTTCTTAAAAATGTGAATGCAATGTGATCTAAGTACTAAAAAGTCACAGCACCAATAGTTAACTCTAAGAACATTTAATGACAGGCCACAGAAGATCAGCCTACAGGCAGTTTCTGTCATTACTCCTCTGCAGTGTTGCTGTCTAAATTAATAAACTTTTCATGCACCAAATTTCAATTAACAGGGAGCATATCTTTCAGATTTGAAATCAAATCAGGCATAGGCACGTAACAGCTCTGAGGCTGTAGTTAAGAGAGCACAAGCTTTGCGATGTCATATGGTTCTCTTATAGCCTAGCTTTTGCTCCCAAATAAGTATCAATAGCTGCAGGGGCACTGTTGCGTTTGCTCCACCCCCAACATGAGCCCTGAATCTCCCCAAGTGCCCCAAGTATTTCTGGGTGGGCAATGAATTTGTGGGGAATTGAACTGGGAATGAACTGAGTGGTATTCTGGGTGGTATACTGATTTGAGGGATGCATTCCTTTCAGAAGACATCCATACAGGATAAGTGGGAGGTAGTGAAGGGAGGTAATAGAAGGGAACTTGAATTGGTTTGGAGCAGGATCTCTTAGGAAGTTAATTGGGGGTAAATGAATGGAAGAGAAATGGATGGGGTGATCTAGGGTGTGCTGCAAATTAGCTGATGGGGAGGTTAGTTGATGTGTCTTTTGTGGCATTTATAAATCTAAATTTTCATCCACACATTTAAATTAACATATGCAATTTTTACATAATTTTGTGTCGGGGGGGGCTGCCCCAAATCATTAAATGTTTTAGTAATGCTGGTTTCTCTCATATGCATGAGAGAAACACACACCTACTGCATTAAAGCATCTTTTGCATTCTTACTTGGGATCAATAGCTAGGTTATAAGAGATTCATGGAAAGTAGCTAGATGCTATGGTATATATGTAAACATATGAGGTTGATTTTGGAGCCTGTGCAGAGGGGCACAAATTCAGTTCAGGCAAATTCCAGGAAAAGTTGTTGAATTGCAGTGTCCAGACCTTGTCCAAGGTTTACATGAAACCAGACCTAAGAGGAGCGTGGCACCTGGACAACCTATGATAGCTGATAAAGCGCTATAGGTAGTTTATCCACCCGTTCTTAGCAGGAATGGGGAAGCTGTCAGGTTATGTCAGTATTAAAAACACTAATAAGGGGCTAAATTCTGCTGTAAAAGATGCTACCTGGATAACCCTAACTCTAGGTCAAAATATGCCAGAGACAAGAGCAGAGGTTATTCAGCATTGCCAGCAAGTCGAAATTCCAAAACCAGCTTCTTCTGGCTATTATGGTGATCATAAATGTTGCTTAGCACAAAGAACCTTCAGCTGTCTTGGAAGGACTCTTTACTCTGAAGGTCTCCAGAGCCCATTCTTCCAGGATAGCTCTTTAAGGGAGTCCTTCAGTATCCCAAGAAGGGCTTTTTATGAGTTGTCTGTCATTGCTTCAGATTCATTCCTGACATGAAGCCACAAGGGCCCCATTCATAAAGGATTTGTACATCATCACAGTATATGTCCTCTGTTCTTTTCGACATTTCCAGGTGGCAATAAACTTGTGCTACCAATCCCCGCCCCCCACCATTCCGTCTTTCTAACCAATTTGTAACTTTCATAGGTCGCAAGACCTCATTTACCTCTATCCCGGATGTAAACTGTCTACAAAGAGAGTGTGAAAGGAAGATACAGCATAATAGAAGATCTGGCCCATTCATAGAACCAGAGCCCTCTCTAAAGCTTTTAAGATTACAATAGAAAGGTTAAAACAGAAGAAAAAGAAGGCCAATTCATAAGCCATGGGTTCAAGGTGTAACCACTTGCTTCTAATGTAGGCTTAAACTGTAAACAAGCTGAGATTTCACACATCACTGAAAACTTTCATTAAGCAGAAGTAGAACCTTGAGATAACAGCTTATTTGTATCTTACCAGTGGTCCATTTAATCCAATACAGTCTTTAGCAGTAGTCAACAAGATGCTTTTTGAAACCTGCAAACAAAAGCAGATAAATGAAGTTCCATGTTACCTTTCATGGCTGATAGCCATTGATAAGTCTATCTTTTATTCAATTTCCTTAAAAAGAAAAGAAAAGCTAATGGTTATCACTACATGTCACATCAACGAATTCCACACATTTATTACAGACTCAGTGAAGAAGTATTTTCTTTTATTTGCTCTCAATACCAATCAGATTTATTGAAGGGTCCTAAGTTCTGATGATGTGGTATTTGAGAGAGAGAGAAAGAGAGAGAGAGAGACTAATTGCGTTTGTTTGTGCATGCACACACACATACACAGAAATGGAAAATGACTTTAAATGTGGATAGTGCTGTAAAGGAAGCATGAGCGCCTTGTAGGAATGGGCCATGCTGCCAATTTCAGGTTCTCATTTTCCATTCTCAAATTCAGTTCTCCACATTTCTACAATAGTGTGATTTTTTTTTTTAAGTTCTCATGAAAATTCAGCAGCATTTTCATGTGAATTTCTCCTAAGAGACACATTTTTGTTTGCAGTTTTGCCTAAGATAAACTTTCTCCCTTATATAATGCATTTTTGTCTGTTATTTCTACTAATATATGCATTTTTATGCACACTTTATTTAGCACATGCATTTTTGTACACATTGCTTGGCTGGAGAACTGCACTGCAAAAGTGCGAATTTTGAAAGATAGATTCAGGTCATGTATTGTTTCAGAAACTTCATATTAGGTAAGTTCACCTTTCAGTGCAAACTGGGTCAAATTTCTCTCCCATCTCTAGTGCCTTGTAGTTCATGTTAATGCAATACATTAATCTTGCCTGGAATTAGGACGTTCAAGAGCCACCAGTAGTGATATTAGCTCACAATGTGCAGAAAAGAATGGGCATCTACCTGCAATAAGATATTGGGATTGGTGATTAATCCTTTGAGGTGGGACAAGGCATTTTCAGGCATTGGTCTGAACACATGAATGCTCAAAGTATATATGGGAGCAGGAGTGTGCATGCAAGCCTCTCCCCTAGTGTCCTCCTGTGCATCCCCCTACCCTGCTGTCTCTCAGACATAACCTTCCCATGTTTCACAGGGAAGCTCTGCATGTGACTTCTACTCGCATTCATGCAAACATGGTAAAAGCCCCCCACAGACCTTCCCTATGCAAAATAATAATAATAATAATAATAATAATAATAATAATAATAATAATAATAATTTATTTGTACCCCACCCATGTGGCTGGGTTTCCCCAGCCACTCTGGGTGGCTTCCAACAAATTTTAAAAATGCATTAAAATGTCAGACATTAAAAACTTCCCTGAACAGGGCTTCCTTCAGATGTCTTCTGAATGTCAGGTAGTTGTTTATCTCTTTGACATCTGATGGGAGGGTGTTCCACAGGGCAGACGCCACTACCAAGAAGGCCCCCTGCCTGGTTCCCTGTAGCTTTGCTTCTCACAGTGAGGGAAACGCCAGAAGGCCCTCAGCGCTGGACCTCAGTGTCCGGGAAGAATGATGGGAGTGGAGATGCTCCTTCAGGTATACTGGGCTGAAGAGGGTCAGGGACTGGCCAGGCATAAAGGATGCACATGAGAATGTTGAGGCAGGGCTTGCAGTTGTGCCTCTGCCACCAACTACACTTTGAACATTCATGTGTTTAACCTGAATGTGCCCACAGAGAAGCAGGAAAACAGGACACATGGCCACTTCTGCTTCCTGGTTACTCTGCAATAGAATCATGTCTAAAGCTGGTCAGACACAGTAGTCTCTAACTAAACAGATAGGCTAGTGCAATGACTTGAAACTACGCAATGTACCTTCCAACCCTCTCCTGTCCCTGTGAACCAAGCCCCTCTTCAATCTGCTCCAGAAAGTTGGAGGAATTCCTGGAACAGATTTGGGGGGTGTTGGGGGGGCTCAGGGAGAGGGCAGCTTTTGCGCAAGTAAAACCTATTGTGCTAGCATAACTGTTTAGTTAGATACTGACCATTGAGATTAATATTTCCCAATTCACTCTCTCCATACACCATTCATAATTTTGCTGGTCACCTGACTGGTTTCCCATGGGGGCATTTTGAGCTGACTTTGAAAATGAGAAATATCTGGGGCGTGTATGGACTACCCATTGCAGATGACCTCTGGAGATGACTCTGAGTCTTGGAGTACACAAGTTTTTTTCATTGACACCTCCCGAGTTCCAAAACAACAAATTAGAAAGGGAAGGTTCAATCTGCTTGTCAAAACAAGAGAATTAAACAAGAGATGGCATTTTGCCTCTAGGGCCTTCCTTAGGCTACAGAGGAACAGGATGTCATTGAGTTTGGCTGTGTCCTAGTTTCTCCATGGCCTGAGGAAGACCCCCAAGGCTGAAACATTATTTCTAATTGTTCTACAAATGACCTTTTTTTCTCCTCTCTTGCTCCAGATGCCACTGATATTGGCATGTACGTGTTCCTTTGTGCTCACTTCATTCTGGCAGGGCCCTGAACTAAAAAGTACCTTGCTACATTCTTTAAAAAGTCTAGTCCTTGGATTTCAAAAGCTTTTTATCTGGCTTTCCCCCTGTTTTCTTAGGGTGGGCATATGGCAGAAGAAAGATACTAAGAAATGTCCCTAGCTTTGAAGTAATTGCTACATATATAGCCCAAACCTCTTGTAACAAAACTTTTCCTACCTACCACACAGTTTTCTCCCAGTATGAGAGGATTCCCTCCCTCCTAATCCATTTATGGTGAGTTCATGAGGAATTGGGCTTAGTAAAGATGTGATCACACATTTAGCTCTCCAACCATCATGGTAAACCACGTGGTCAGATGAAAGGAACCTGGATAGGTCTAGTATAGGCAGAAGAGCAGCATTAGCAGGCAGTAGCTGGAGAAAATAAAAAGAAGAGGAAATCTCAGTAATAAGGATGCTGCCTAGACATTGGACCTGGATAGCTCATCTGGTAGAGCAGAAGACTCTTAATCTCAGGGTCGTAGGTTTGACCCCCACATTGGGCAAAATATTTGTGTATTGCAGGGGGTTGGACTAGATAACAGATGTGGACCCTTCCAACTCTACAATTTTATGATTCCAAGGCAGGACCCAAGCATGATAGGGAAAATATTTATGCTTTACCAAGGCTTGGGAATCCAATGGGCCTGCTGTCAGCTAGAATACAAGCCCATTGCCACAAGGGGAAAAAATGAGGTGACAATGTAGATAATGCTGCTTATGCAGAGTTACTTCCTTGTATCTGTACGAGGCATCCTGATCCTGTCAAATCACGACAACCAAGCAGAAGCAATGTTGAAATAGAAGAAGCAACATTCTGAGCTGTGAGTTGTTGGCCCAGCCTCTCCTCTACAAAAGAGAGGAGGAGACAGAAAGAGAGGATGGGGGAAGGAAGGATAGTCTACAAAAACGGAACAGAATAAGGTGACAGGACATACTATACTTGCAACTTCAGATTACAGGGGTGGCACACCAATGCCTTCCACATCTGCTGTGACAGGAAGGTTGCAGGCTCCTTCCCTCCCACTCTCTATCTCCTTCCCTCCCACTCTCTATCAAGGCAATATTGTTTCTATAGAAAATAAAAAAACTGAGGTAAGCAACGTTAAGTGAAAAATTAATAATAAATAACAATAATTTTTTATTTGTATCCCGCCCTTCCCGGCCGGGGCCGGGCTCAGAGTGGCTAACATCATAAAAACAACACAATATGCATAAAAACAGACATCAATTAATTAAAATGCAACTTAAAATTAATTCAGACAAGTTAAAATCTGGGCAGGTGGCAATTATCAGGTTGGAGTTGAGAGTGGTTAATACTTGCCAGAACCAACTGTTTCCACTGATCATACAAGGACCTATGAGCGAGTTTGTGGAGGATACATCACTCAGACTGATGATAGACCCTCAACAGCTGTAGAAACTGGTCAGAGTGTACAATGGGTTTCTTATAAACGGAGTTACAAATCCTTTCATTGCTTGATTTGGAATATTTTGGAATAAAGAAGATTTATGTTAAATCAGAAACCAACTATTTTGCTGCATGACTGACCCTCAACGTGGCATACATTTTTTAAAAAAGTGAACTTGAATAACTTCAGCAGTGAGAAAGTCACTTATTTATTAGGAACAGACATACTTTAAAAATAAAATAAAAAAAACCCAATCCTTGGGCAATAGAAAAAGCTGTATTTGGATGAAGGATTGATGTGTTTGAATTTCAGTCAATCAGAACCTCCCTCACCTTTTTCTAAATTTCTAGAGAATAGTTTATAATTGTTTTGACTGTATTTATGTAAAATCATTTCCCAGATAATTTTGGTTGATAATTGTTGGCTCTAAGCCATGCTTATCAGCAGCCCTGCAAAGTTCTACATTTCCAGTGATTAGATTCACAATTAGGAATATTTTTCAGGAAAACCACAGTTCTGAAGAAAAAAATTCTTGATCTGGCTTTCCCTACCATCCCTTGCTGTCCAAGTGCTGCTAAACTTTTAGGATACAACAATATGCCCAGCTAATTCCTTTTATGTCCACCAATTTGTTTCTTGCCTTATTCTGAAGTGTCAGAGCAGAGAAGCTGTAGAACAGGGGTCAGCAACCTTTTTCAGCTGTGGGCCAGTCCACCGTCCTTCAGACCATGCGGTGGGCCTGACTATATATATATACTTAAAATGAATGAATTCCTATGCCCCACAAATAACCCAGAGATGCATTTTAAATAAAAGGACACATTCTACTCATGTAAAAACACGCTGATTCCCAGACCATCCGTGGGCCGGATTGAGAAGGCAATTGGGCCACATCCGGCCCACTGGCCTTAGGTTGCCTACCCCTGCTGTAGAACATTCATATACCATATTTACTCGAATCTAATGCTCACCTTTTCCCCACCAAATTACGTTGTGAAAATTAAGGTGTGCATTAGCTTTGATGGCACATTTGTATTTGCCAGCAAATACTTTCTTTTGGTTTCAAGGTTCTGAAAATTGAAGTGCGGAATTCCAGAACATTCCTGTTTCTCATCTGTCCATACCTAAGTCCATTATGTCCCATTTCTGCATTAATTGGAGGTATCATCATCATCATCATCATCATCTGCCCTTGACCAGCAGGTCCAAATTCAGAACAATTATACATTAAAAACTATTAAGGCAGACTACAACCACAGGAACAGGATGGGCTCTTAAAACACACATCTCAGATGACAAAGACTAGTTTAAAGTGGTGGTCCTATAGCATTTGTGGAACATTATGTAATGAAGGTGCTAGATGCATCTCTGTGGGAAGGGAGCTCCGCAACTTAGAGGTTGCCACAGCAAATGCCCTCTCTGCCTGAGAACCTCTGAGGGACGCAGAATTACCGTGTTCTGATCTCTGAATTACCGTGTTCTGATCTCTGTACAAAGTACCTGTACAATAATGTTTAACAGAGCAAACCAAGCCATAGTGGCACCAGGCCAAGAGGTAGTTTGAATTGGACAGAGATGACCCTTGCCAAAGCCCTGCCTGCCTCCGTTGGACTCCCACAGTCTTCTGCCTGCAGGATATGCTGGCGCCACTTTACTGATGTACAGCTTTTCCTTCTGCATATCAGAAATACAGGCAGGCGAAAGTACCACTGCTGGGGTCCCTGCTGGTAGAAGCCAGTGGGAAATCCTGAAGCAGGGCTTTCTGAAGTTGGGGAGCGGCTGCGTCAGCCTGGAATGTGCTGGATGCCAGGCTGGCCTTGCCACTTTTGTGTGACGACTTTGGGCCCGATCTGGGCCAGATCACTGTGACAACTCTTGTCCGGTGCAGCAACCTGCCTCCCCAGTTAACTTCTGTCCCAGCTACAGTGCACAGCATGGTTTGCCAATACAGTAAGTCCCTCCATCTGGCATATATAATTGCCCTGCATCCACAGATCTCAGGGTGGTTCATAGCATAATAATAATACAAATAATACATAATAAAAACAAGAAAAACAAACAAACCCAACTCCCCCTGCCCTATAAACACATTTTAAACACATTTGGTATAATTTTTTGACTCAAGAACTGCATTGCAAAATCCAGAGAGGTGCAAAATGCAAAAGATATTTACATTTCTGATCCGCCCATTAGCCCAGGATGTGCAGATGGGTTCAGTTTTCAGCAGAACTCACAGGAATTGAATTCCTCAAGCACCCCTAGCCCCAGGCATGCCATATAGCAATCAGGGGATGGGAATGGACAACAAGGTCAGAAAAGGAGAATAGAGAGAATCCAGAGGTGTCCTAGATCCTGCTGTGTTGAGAGTTTTAAAGGTTTGTGGCCATTCTCCAGGCTTCAGTCTGTCTCCCCTAGTGGAGGGCAAAGGACTCTCTCTCCTAGCTTTGTTCACTTTCCTTCCCCCTTGGTTTCTTGCAAACCCCTGCTTGTACATCTAAATTACTCCAACTGGAGTCAGAGTTGTTTGGTTTTTGTTTTGTTCTAAGTCCCAAAGTGCTTAACTACTGTTGCCGCTCTCAACGGCTGAGATGAACGAGTTTGAATCAAACAATCAACTGAGTAGCAACGCACAACAAACGTGCGGTTGTGAATGTTGCCAAACTGAGTTCTGTCGACGCTCCAGCCAGAGCCTGTTCCAAAACTGTGAAGGCCTTTTGCTGACAGCTAAGCTGCCAATCCTCTCTGCGCATGGAGCAGCTATTTGCAAAGTGCTTAGGAATGTAAATACAGGGCTTTTGGGAAGTGCTGACTATAAAGCATTATAGTAGATGGCATAATGAAGCTCTCTGTGCACAATGAATTTGGCAACCTCCTTGCAAACTGCCATGTGCTGGGTCTATTTTTATCTTTATCAGTTTGATAGATAGACTAATGTACAAAGTAGGAGGAAAAGAATAAAAAACGAGGCTCTGGCTGTAATGTTCAGATTTGGAATTGGCACATCCCTGCATTATGTGTCTGGCTGAATACTAAGCGGTTGCTCTGATAAGGAGAAAATACTTTATATTAGACTGGGCAAGTGCCATGCAATGTGTGCCTAGCATGTACTGGTTCAACATCACATACAGCCCTTGTGTTTTGCTGCAGCTGATGGGATGTACAGACATGATATCTAGTGTGAACCAAATCCTACATGAATACATTAGTATGTGAGTTGATCCTACTGATGCAATTAGGTAAAGATAAAGGGACCCCTGACCATTAGGTCCAGTCGCAGATGACTCTGGGGTTGCAGCACTCATCTCATTTTATTGGCTGAGGGAGCCGGTGTACAGCTTCTGGGTCATGTGGCCAGCCTGACTAAGCCGCTTCTGGCAAACCAGAGCAGCGCACAGAAACGCCGTTTACCTTCCCGCCGGAGCGGTACCCATTTATCTACTTGCACTTTGATGTGCTTTCGAACTGCTAGGTTGGCAGGAGCAGGGACCGAGCAACAGGAGCTCACCCCATCGCGGGGATTCAAACCGCCGACCTTCCAATTGGCAAACCCTAGGCTCTGTGGTCAAGGTTTGCTCCTGCACCATGTTATGTGCAAGACAGATTGGCTGGGTCCTTGTATGAACTCGCCATGTGTGCTAAGGTTCATTCATCTTTCTTTGTGGCAGAGTCACTGTAATACAGAACATGGCATTTAAGGCACAAGGTGTGGCAACTTTGCTGATACTTGCTAGTCAGTGACTGGATGGGAGAAAAAAGTGGAGCCCAAGAAGCTGGCGAGGATGACTACCCAGTGCCTGAAATTGGTGTGTTCACAGATTTTGTTTTTAAGAGAAGTACTTCCTTTCACCTTAAAAAGAAAAACTTACTGCATATACTTTGCCTAAACAACACCACCAGCAAACAGCTGTCAGGTGCATAGCAGGCAACCTCTCCAGTTTCCGCTACTTGCAGGAAAACCCATCCAAGGGTGCCATGAGGTTTTCAGGAAGTGTAGACACCTGGGGAGACTGCAGAATACAGTGGTACCTTGGGTTAAGAACTTAATTCGTTCTGGAGGTCTGTTCTTAACCTGAAACTGTTCTTAACCTGAAGCA